TGATATTACCATTGATTTTGATCATTTATGTTCCTTACTACTCCTTACCGTTATATGATTAAAGAAGCTATAAATATAATATAAGTAGGTTGATAGATTTGATGTTATTCATTCCTTATTGATGTATTGTTTTACTTGATCAATCGGTGAAAAGCACAGTTGTTGTTAAGCGAAGTGGATTTTAGTTTGCTTATCTGATCGGAGATGCTGTTCTTTATCTGTATACGAGTACCTACCGTCTTTTTCGGTTTTGTTTCATTTCGTCGTTTGTTGTGAATCTTTTAAGTTTTGACTTTCAATCTGAACACGTTACATTTGTTTGGTGCACATGCGTAAATGTGGGAATGTTCGGTATTTTTCTTCAAAATTTTATAAAACTTCTCAACTGAATCTCGTTTTTGTATCATTTTTGGCTGATTTTCATCATTTTTTTTGCGTTCGTTATTTGTTTCGTACTGTTACAAGTTCATATATTACAATATCATTTCACTTGCTTGATATGGTGCTCTTATAAATTCATTTTTAATCGAATGAATTCTGTTGCTTTCAGTTTTTTGTTTGGTTTCTCAAAAAATTTTCGACAAAATACGAAGCTAAAAATATTCACCATCTTAACATTTGAATAACTAGAGGTTGTGATAGTTTCGTCGCTAGAAATGGAAGATTGAGAACAGTGACGGGATTAAAGGTGCCCAGCTTTAGTTTTGAAGCCGAATGTGATCTTTTGCAAACGGTTCGGAAATGAAGAGTCCCAACTGTTTAACGCAACAGTTCTGTGCACAATCCGATAGTGAACAAATTATTATGCACAATTTTTTCCACATATAAATGATTCACAATGGACGTAATGTAAATTTCAATGTAAATTTTGTACAAAGTCAGTCGAAAACAATATAAACAATTTGGTGTGTTCATTAAAGTTGTTATCAAATGAGACTATTCGTAAGAAGCAGATAATATACTGATTATTTGAAACTGCTTATATTAATGATTTGCTTCAAAGACAACGCTTGAAAGGCATTTCTTTCGGCCTGATCCACTAGAACGTATGATCTCAGAAATAGTAACCATTTGAATTTACGTCTGATAAAATGTGGTAGAGCACTAACATCGTGCAAACGATGCGATAATCTGCATAAGCAAAGTTTCAATAATGATGGCGGTGTGATCTGCATACGGAATATATTTGAACAATTCGCTGCTGTTGAAAGGGGACCGTTTGAACCACCACAAACTGAAATTTTCATTTCGTGACACAATTATCAATATTATCACAATAATCGGTTTCTATGATTAAGATATTTTTTATTATCATTACTATTAATAGTCTCTATATATCAGCTAAAATGTGAATGCTGCAAAACATACCAAAAAGTAATCCATCAATAACTGCAGCTGTATGCCATAATCGCGGTGCAGGCTTTTTGAAGTAACCAAACGTCACCCATTGCCCTATCAGTTGATTATTATTATCATTATTACTTTTGCTATTGTCGATGGTTTCTGCTGCATTGAAATGAAACGACCAACAATCAGACAACGCGTTCCCATCGGTCGAATAACCACCAAATAATAATGTATTTTCATGATCAATTACGCTTAATGTACACCACGAACGACCAACTGGTAATGATCCTATTATTTCACTGAAAAATTTAGCAATTCAACGCAACAGCAAAGTTTGTTGAGTCAGCTGAAGTGACAGTGACGGAGAGAAATATTTCTCAGTAAACTGGAAGAATATTTAGAATATGAGGACACGATCCACACAAAGACTAAAAACCAAAAAACGTCTGAAAATTGCTTTAGGAATAATAGCGAAATAACGGACGAGTGGATAATGAATGAATAAAATAACGAACACATTCGACCATATCAACGTATTCATATCAAGAATATACAAATCACATAATCTAATTTCATCGTGCCGACCACCAAATAACAGTACACTCCGTTTATCTTCCATATAGACACTTGCGGACGCGGCTCTTGGCGACGGTATTGATCCACTTGTTCTATAAATTTGATCATACTGTCTTTGGTCATTTCTATTTCGTATCATTCTTTTTTGATGAAACCAACTTTGCACTACTCCATCGAACATCAGAGCAACGATCATAAACTAGCAATTGATTATTCCAGCATAAACCCGTATTTCCGTCCGCATGAAAATCACCTGCAGATCTCAAATACAACGACGGATCATGCATTCTGAATGTGCCCGGACCGTATCCTCCGAAAAAGTAACATCTGAAATGCTTTATTTCAGCATTAAAATTTCCCAACTGAAAATCAATTTTCAAAAAAAAANTATTCAGCAGAAGTGCTGAATTATACTAGTAAAATGGTACACAATAATATCAAATGAAAGATGGAACAACAAAAAATGAACCTGGTCTAGTAAAACCACCGAATATAATTATAGTATCTTCTAGTAGAACCGCACATGCCCCGCTCGTGGGTGGAGGGGCTTCACCGTTACGTATATTATATACAATCCTGAAGCGTATTATTGAAGTCGACGCATTTTTTCGTCTGATTTTGAGAATATCAAAAATTAAAGGATTACAAAGATGGCTATATACAAAGAATATTAAAAAATTGAAAACAGTAACCATTTGACAGAAGACGAATGAGTTGTTAAAGCGGCTGGTAATATAAACAGTTGATGGGTGAGTCGATAATGTGTTTCATCAGAGCTATCAATACAATAACCACCCCATATCAACAGTGAATCTTCACATCGTACCATTGAATGCCCAACTACCGAATGTATCGTATAACCTTCTGGACCTTCGCTATCCTCCTAAGAATATATTCACAATCAGTGAAGAATAGTTAGAAGATTCAATGATGTGAAATTATCAGTAATACTACTTGATAATTGTTTTTTCTTGGTGAATGAAACGAAACGCCTTTTGAAAAGAGTAATTTTGTTGCAGTGTTAAAATGATTTAGTGAGAAAAAGTCACTGTTCATGATGAGATTTGTGGCGCAAAATTAAAACTCTTTTCAACAGACAAATATAATTGAAATTTTATTTTTCATTTCCTGTTTACACTGCATAACTTTTCTTCATCTGCACTTGGTTGGTTTTTCTGACTCGTGCTTAATTCATACTTACGTTCTCTTATATCTTCCAGTGTTTAATTCTGTTGATCTACCTAAGAGCAGAAATGAAGAAATCAATGTCAAAATGAAACAGTAGAACATAAATCTGGAAATGAATATGAAAATACGAACCAGAAAAACAAACGAAGTCCAAATGAGATTATTTTCTAGTAAGCTAAAGTTTATTACTATTCTTCAGTAAGCTAAACTAATTTTGCTATCTAAAACTTATTTCTGGATAAAAACGAAGCCATATGTCATTGAGAGTGCTGATCAACTGAGATAAGCCCTACTATACCTGATAGTAAGTTTAGTAAGTTGCATAGTCACGCACACACCTGTGTCGTTACCAAAACGCTGCTGATAAGTATTTAGATGGAAAATTAGGAAACGTTTCTGATAAATCATTGAAATATAATCAAAATTTCGCACAAAAACGCACCAAAAGAGAAAAATTCGACGTTGTCCGTTCCCATGCTACGTTAGCTCCGTCGGGTGGTCCAGCAAACATTAAAAACGATTTTTTCAATTAGTAGTTCACTGTCGTTCAACTTGAGTCATTTATCAAATAAGTGTCAGTGATCATCTGTTAATACAACATCGCCTCAGCGCTTAAAACTATTTGACATTGTCTTTCGCAAAGAATATTNGAGTAGATCAAGGGGAATAAGGTACTTGATATGTATTTTGAAAGTAACGAAGGAATATGCAACCTTTTCTATTTGGCTTGGATAATGAAAATTGAATCAACAACTCTAATCGTTTCTCACCCAAGCTGTGCAGAACGACTGTATGTTCGAACTTCGAAGGGATGAGGGGAGCTACGGACTCTCTTCCGCGCAGGAGGCATTAAGGATAGTGTCGTGGCAACATGATGCTACCTTGCAACACACTCAGACCTTGCGTCGCGACATTACTTCTTTCAGAAGTTATCCGAACGAGGCAAGCAAACACCGGTAGGTGTCACTCTAAAGAGTATGAACACTTATTGGATCAAGCCCGTGACCGATGTAAGACAACGGAAAGTTACCATAAATGAGTTGGATTGCAATAACGCCTCCCAACAACCTATGCACGCGATAGACTTGTCGTCCACTCACAACAGCAATCAGATACCTAGTGTGCTTGAAAACGAGCACTGCAAAATCTTATGGAACACTGAGCTGCAAACTGAAGCGAAGATGAAACATCGCAAACCAGATATTCTGGTGTTGGACAAGGACGAAGGCTTGAAGGGTCTGTGGCTTCCGTCGAAGGTATGGATGATAAAGAAAATCAACCGTTACACGATCAATTCGACCGAGCTACCAGATGAATCAAACCTGCCGTACCCACCGGGTAAGAACTTGATAGGCGACCTGCAGGCCGTCCACAAGCAAAGAGTCGACTTTATTCTGGTCATTGTTGACTCATGCGGAGAATACTAATAGGTTGTAAAAGAGGATCCGAAGCGAACATTGAATATGAGGTCAGAAGCCTTAGACCATCTGCTGGAACGCATGGCAAGATCAGCAGTATCGGGAACGGCCAAGATAGTCCGAGCTAGTATTCGTCGGAGAGCAGTTTTTCGGAAAGTGGGGCGGGGGTCACCGCAGGGAGAAAATTGGACGGGGAGTATCCTCGCAAAAAAATCAGGCAGCAAACTACGTGCCGGGACCCCGTCGGGGAATGACCGCTCCCCGTGTTCCCCGACGAGGAGCATTTCAGCTCAATTTTTCGATAGAATTCAAATTTTTTGAAATTTTCATTGCAGCTCTTCTCTTCATTATGCCTGCCACTACAACAACAAAAACACTGAACAAT